AGGGACAGAAGGATTTCTTGGTGTCAAACATATCGTTGAATGAAATTAAATTATACGACAATAGGTTAACGGAATTAAGAGATTTTCTCAAAAGTAATATCAAATTTTCGCTCAACTTTGAGAACGAAAACAACAGAAGAGGACTAATGAGAGGAAACGATGTCTACGCGAATGAAAGGAATTCTTTGCATCTATTGTTAAGACTCATTGAACATTGCATTGAAGTGTTGGGTCTTTGGAAGCTGTTATGCGATCATCAGTTCCACGCAATCACAGCTGTCCTTCCCATTGAAAAGCAGAATCAATTGATTGGAATGACTTTCAAAGAGCTTGTCGTTTACGGCAGCGAAATGACTACTCTATTGGCCAGTGCTTTGGTCCGCAGGTTTATCGAAGACAACTCGACCACTGATATCATTAATAGGCGTCTCCAAGAGGTCTGTCCGTCGATCTATAAGAATGAGAACGCATTGCACGCAAAGGCACACGAATTGGTGACTAAAGCCAAGTCGATCGCCAACCCGACAGACAGGGCCTCGCAGTTAGAGTATGCGTTGACTTTGTGCAAAAAGATCGGGTCTCGCATTAACCTCCAACCCATTTGTGAATTGTTTCAATCCGTTCAATGGTATGAAGCGGTTGTCGACATCTGCCTATTGACGGCCCAAAACCGCGATCCGCAGAATTTAGCCCTTCATTACTATCGCAATGGCGAACAAATGGAGGATCAGATCGGATATTATGTGTTCAGCGCTCGTAATGAATGTTATAAATTATTGCTCGAAGTATACGAACGACTCGTACAGCAAAGCAGATCACTATTGAATCCTAGAGGAGAGGAATCGCCGCAAACTATGCTCTCCTTAGAAGAGGCGAAGAAACGGTCAAACGATGTGTTAAGGCATGCGATTGAGTCGAACGACGAACTCTTTCACATCGCTCTATACAACTGGCTCTACGAACACCAACAGAGCGATCGACTCCTCGAGATTAAGTCCCCGTATTTGGAGAGTTATCTGAAACGCAAAACGTCTGCCTTTTCTGATTCAATCGNGAGCTCTTTCACATCGCTCTATACAACTGGCTCTACGAACACCAACAGAGCGATCGACTCCTCGAGATTAAGTCCCCGTATTTGGAGAGTTATCTGAAACGCAAAACGTCTGCCTTTTCTGATTCAATCGCGTTAATGGATTTGCTTTGGATGTATTACGAGAGGAGCGGACACTTCAGAGCCGCGGCTCACATATTAACTAAATTGGCCGAAAGGCGGAGCCCTGACGTCAATCTTTACAAACGACTCGAATACTTGTCCAGAGCTATAGTCTGTATGAAGAGTTCAGATTCGCGACCGACGGCTCTCTTCGGAGACACCACTCAATCGACTGCCGGAGAGTTCTTGCATGAGTTGGAGGAGAAGATGGAAGTGTCACGCATTCAGCTTCACATACTTGAGAGCCTCCACAAGTTGTCCGATTCTGTGCCCACACAGGAGGCCATCAATGCATTAAACTGTGATTTACTCGATATAACACAACTGTACGAAGAGTTTGCCGATCGATTCAATTTAGCCGAATGTCAGTTAGCTATCCTTCACTGCGCCGGACATCACGACCCGAACCTAATTGAGACCATTTGGCGAAACATTATTGATAGTGACTTACGAGCCGTCAGTTCCATGTCTTCCGACGCCCAGAAGAATCTAATTTGTAATAAAATCAAACATTTGGCCAAACTATACATGAGTTCTGAGAAATATTTTCCAATCGGTTTGTATTTGATTTACAGAACATTCAAAGCATTAATGAGTTATTAATAATGAATATATTTAACAGAATTTATTGTCAAATACTTGGAGACGAAAACACAGAACTTTGAGTTTGAGTCGCAATGGCTTACAGAGAGTCTCCTGGAAATGGGCGTCAAATTAACGGATTTACTCGATCTCTACCACAAACTCTATAAATCACGTGAATTATCCACTTCTTGGCCGCGAAAACAAATCCATTTGCTTCGAGTTCTGGCTTTTATTATCAACGCGTTTACTTTTAACCAGTCTTTGGTCTCATTTGCTGAAAGGTTTATTACAACTCATTCTATACTTTGAAAAGTTATTATTAATTGTGTTTTTATTTGCAAATAGGCGTCACTTTTGCACCAAAAGTCTGGACGTATTGTCCGCTTATTTGATTGATTTACAAACGATGGACTCCGAGGACAGAGCCGTTAGAAGTCTGTTATACGACTTGAAGGCAATCAAAGCCAAAGTCGAGCGATGCGTTTGATTTGCATTTTATATATTATTTGAATTTATTTTAAAATAAGTTTTATATTAATTATTAATAAATAAAAATTTATTCACAATTTATTAAAAATTAATGTTTCATTGATTTTAATAATTATTGTTTTGAGGGAAATATTGACTCTTATATGATATGATTTTTAATCAGGAAGACTATTCTTAGCCGTAGACTCCAATGTTAAAACTCACTCAAAGGTTTTGATAGCATTTAATATAAAAACCACAAAAAATTAATGTTTTTAATAAGGTGAAATAATTTTTTAATGCTTAAGTTTAATGTCATAAATGAGTTTTAAAATTAGAGTCTACGGCTAAGAATAATCTTTTTGATTAAAATTTTTAATTTAAAAATCATATGAGGGAATGTAAGAGTAATATAAGAGGCGGTCAATTAATGTTTGGCACAGCGTTTTCGCGATAACTATTACAGTATAAGATTATTGAATTCTGAAGAAAGTATACACTTTATAATAGTGCCACGCATGACATGCTGTACACCCTATTTTAGATATTGGTCACGTGCTATACTTAATAACCTATACATTCTGAATCACTGGTCAAACTATAAGAAGTATAAAAAAGGTACCAATGTATAATTGTAAAGGGAAAACACATGAGGGCTTTAAAGTAATAAGGGCTCTTGTACAGACAGTACGTATTAATAAAAAGTAACAAAATTACAAAGTGCATACACTATGCCTTACATGTATAATAGTGTATGCATTCGTATATCTGTGGTCTCCGTTTGAGTTACTAAATAATTAAACATTTTTTAATAAACAATTTTTATTTATTCAATATCACTATAGTTTATAAAATTATTAATTTTAATCTTTTTAAAATACTTTGTATAAAATTCTTGATTTTTATCTGATATATAGTGTTAAAGAGATAAAATATCAGATTTCTTATTAGCACTTATACCAACATTTTTTATAATACAATTTTCATTAATATAATTATTTTTAACTAGATTTACATCATAATTATCACAATAAATAATTTCTCCATTACACCTTTAGACTATTTAGACTGACTAATTAGACTATTTTTATCAAAAAAATTATTTAAAATATTTATAAATATCAAGACTTTAAAACAATAATTTTTTTGATTGCTTTAAAAAATTAACATATTCTGTTGGAGTTTCAATTATTTCATTTTTTAAAATGTTTTTACCGAGAATTGAAAAGTGTCTGTCACAAATTGAATACAAATGACCACAAACAGAAAAAATATGAGTTATTTTAAAATTTAATTTAATTGAAATAAATGATAAAAATTTAAGTACTATCCAGTTTCTGTTTAGATCACATATGGCATCTGAAAAGAACACTAAGTTTGACTGTGGGCCTATGCCTGCTTCGTTAATATTTTTGTTTGAAATTACATTTTCGATTGCATAAAATAAATAACTACATACAGAATTTGGATTTTTGGGTGCTAAACCCTCAGTACTGTAAAACATATACGAAGAAATATTATGAATATGTATATTAAAAATATATACAAATAGTTATCGTTTATAATAAACTTCAGAATTCGGAATTTTAGGGAAACTTCTATTTGCCGAGTAATCAAATTCAATGCAATCTAGTGACCCAATAATTGGCGGTCGTACCAAAGGCTATGAGATCCGCCGTTATGTGCATTAATGCTTTATTTGAAAATAAAATTATTCCGTGTAGAATAAAGTGTTCATCCAAAAGAAGTTTAATCAAGAAAAGTTGCACTGTATTTTCAAATAATTTAGGTTTAATTTTAAAATTCTTTTCACAAATTCTTAAAGAACTCACAAGTGGTTAAATGACGACTCGTGTTATCTTGAGTTGTGGTAATATTTAAGCACTTTTCTGTTAAGATCCAAACCAATAATTATTAGTTATTGAAAGTATGGTTAAAAAATTTAAGAGAGAGAGAGAGAGAGAGAGAGAGAGAGAAAGAGAGAGAAATGTAATATAATAAATATTGTTTGCAATATGAATAATAATTGTCATGAGCTCTCCGATACACGCAAACAAATCTTCATGTCATTAACTTGGAAACCTCTGTATCACTACATTTATAGTTGGTACAAGATTGCCAACAATGTCAAACTCAACTGTCTTCATACAAAAACTTTTTTGGCAGCCAGAGGCTGACCAGCACCGTATTTTGGTGCGTTCAAGAATTGTTCGTCGACCTTATAATTATTAGTGATTGCAATTATGGTGCCGGAGCCGCAACACGACAGTCATTACAACGACGATTACACCAGGGCTTCAGATTTTACGCCGATGATTAGGAACAATTTCGTGGCCACACTCCTTACGACAAAATGAATACCATTTTATGGCATGAGGTTTCCCAATTTTGGAGTGCTCGCCCGCTTTGTTTACCGGAATTTGCATAATTTACGCCAAAGTTATGTGCATAAACTTAATGACTGGCAAATGTTATTTTTTGCCCATAATTTGATAGTTAATGCAAACTCATATTTATGGCCGGTGTCTCTACGGCAGGTCTTACAGTATAGGGCGTATTTAAGCTTAAGTGTGTTCGACACAATTATTACTTTAGTAATATTGTGTGCCAGATCTGCCCGACACCAGAAATGCGATGCATTTAAATCCGCCACAACCCCAACACTTTGAAGGCATTGAATGCATTGAGCGTTTGTTGTTCCCATTTTTTATACATATCAAACATTGTTATGTTTCAGCACTCAATTGTCAGATCTTCGATTCATTATTGAAGTGAATGGCATTCTCTGTCAATTCAAATGAAAAACTCGCCGAACAGGAGTTTTTCACAGTGTATATAAAATTAAGATTAATATTTTTTACGTCCACTTTTTTCAAAGCTATGAGTTTAATCTCTTAACCAGTCACAGTGTACTGATTTAAACCATGAGATTTGCAAACTAGTAATATTCTTTAGGGTTTATTTTGTAGAGCATAAAAATAAAGGATAAAGTTCAATGTAAATTGGTAAAATGCCAAAAATTTTATAATAAATTTTTTTATTTGTTTTTAATTTGCGAAATTAATTATCATTGTGAGCACAATTTAAGTTGATATAAATAATGTACAGTAATTACGTTAATCAATATTAAAAACGTGCATAAATTTTACTAAATTTCTTAATTTTGATATAACTTTTTCCCATTACTTCAGATTTGGGAAATTTTTTCAGTAATAGATTCCTCTCATCCATACCTTTCCATTGATATATAATATGATATACTTATTTATAAAATACAAGATTTGATATTCAAATTTTCCTCGATAAAAGTGGTCACTGCGGCTAACCCCGAGGTCGTCTGGCCAAATAAAATATACCACCGTACTTTTTATAGAGTGTACTTTCGATTTATAACAATAATTCCCGGTTGCACTCTGGGCATTATTTGAACATTATTATTTCGAGACCGAATTCGTATTCAACGTTAAATTCTGCATTAAAATAATATAAAAATTTTGTAAAAATTATTTTTAAAAATATTTATCGAACAAAAGTTGTAAGCCGAATAACTCGAAAAATATTCGAGATAAATAATTTTGATTTCAAATTCGTTTTTAGTGTACATAATAAAATTTTACAAATTGCTCTGTCGGGCATAAATAACCCTGGCCAAAAGTGGATGTGTGAACACATTTCACAATATCGTCCAATTGTGTAAATTCACAAATAAGTTAATCTCCAAATTGTCAACTCTTTTAGAAGTTTAGTAAATGTTTAGAACTTTTGTTTCATATAAACTAGGCTGTGATCTCAACGGGTTTTTGCGGAAAAATACACTCAAAAAACTAATTTTGCAATTAAACAAAAAAACAAATTAAAAACAACATATTTTAATATTTGAATAAATCGATTCTTAACTATAATTTCAAAACAAGACAATTTTAATCAAAAAGTTTAAATGACAGAATACAGTTATTGATAAACATAGATTACAATGCAATAATATATAATAATAATACAAAACACTGCCATAGACTTATACCATAGAATTAACATTACTTATAAGAACATAAATTACATGATAAAGTAGCCATGAAATTAATCTGGGATGCCATGCTATCGAGATAGTGTGGGGGATGGGCCAAGTGATCCTTGATATAAAATCTCTTAGAATTATAGTTAAAACAAATAGTAATTAAAATTAAATAACAAGGCATTCAGAAATAAATGTCCATAATGGCCATAACTTAAAAACGAATAAAGTTAATTTGATTCTGTCTTCGGATTATAATAATACCATCCCATGTCCACATCTCACATAAATTTTATCAGGATTGATTAACATTAAG